AAAGTGGGGGGACATGTCCCCCCTGTCTCCAGTTGAAATTACGCCATGCGTGTGTGTGTGTGTGTGTGTGTGTGTGTTAGGTGCAATAAATGTGCAAGTCACAACACACAGAGTAAAACTCTGCCCCTCATGTGCAGTATAGGCTGGCACGACTAGGCTGTGTTCAATGGGGCTGATTGTCTCTTCTACATCAACATGTGTCCCCTCTGTGTAAAGAGACTCTGAAAGTTTCAGGAACAAAGATTCTCTCTCTTTTTGTCCTGATCCATTTATATAAAAACCTGTCTGAAAATGAGCTGATCAGATTTTGGCCACTTTGTGATGTCATAACGATTATTTAGCTTGTGTCACCATTAGCCAATCACCAACCAAGGTAACCCCCCACCACCTTATCACCTGAATCTCCTCCTAGAGTACCATTGTGTTATTTTTAACCAAATATCTCTCAGAGGGGCGTGGGGAGGGGCTCCTTATTTTCATCTAAAGTAACAGACAGAGAATCAGCACTTTGGAAACAGGGCTGAAACAGAGGGGATTATGGGTAATGCTTTGGTATTTGGAGCCAAACACTTCAGAGACATGTTTTGTATATATCTGAGACCTATAATATATTGATGAAAAACAGTATCATAGGGGACCTTTAAAATATTTTCAGATGGTATCATTATACCAGTTGTTTTTCTGGTTGAACCGATGCCATTACGATAGAAATGAGTGTGCTTTTTAAGAAAAGTAAGAAAAGGGGAAACTAAATGTGCATCTTCATCCCTTTATCGAGAATTCATGTTCTGCAATGGTGATGCAGCATTATGCAGCATATTTGTTTTCCTTTTTTGTATTGAGTCATTCTCAGCTTGATTAACCTCCATCAAACACTTGAATCTAGTAGAATGTTCTTCTTCCCCTGAGAAATAATAGATTGACAAAACAATGTGAACTCAAGGCGCTCTGACTAGCTAGCTATCCGACTGACTCACCCCAAAGCGATTCCCACAGCAGCCATTTTCTCCAGTGAAGTGGATGTAAATCGATGAGATCAACACCTGTGGAGGAACACATTAGTTGTCAGGGAATAAGAGGACGCCATTGTGTGAAAACATGTTCAAAATAGCAAATGAGGTTCCTTAAAAAAAAAAAAGATCAGTACCGAAGAAACCTTTTCACAGTCCGTTTTGAGGGATTCCTTTTCAAACCTTTCATGAAAATGTAAGTCTTGGTGCCTCTTGACGGTCTCTTACACCAGAATGGGATACATGTTGACTATAGCTAGTTAAGAAAAACAAATATTTTGACCAATTTAGCCCCAAATTAGGACTAATTTACTGAAACCAATCAAACAAACGCTATAGAGAATGTTGTTCATTTACTATAGGCAGCACAATTCTGAAACAAGTTACATCTATTCCAAAGTCACCTCCTTCAGACGGTACAGCCACCACGGCCCCTGGTAGACCACCAAACAATACTGACTGTGACAATCTCGTGCAATAACGCTGCTACCGTATGTGCGATGTAGGCCTACACTCTTTTGCATTCACAGTTGCAGCAGAATGCAGTCGTTATTCTGCTGCAACTTCACTCAGCAATACAACGTGCAATACATGCATTATACACAAGCTTATATACATTCATAATTTCACTTAGCTTTTAAAATGTGCACCTATTAGTCTTTATTTTAATTTGGACTAATATGGGCTTGTCTCTATTTTGTCTTTTTATTTGTTTGCCTTTATTCTGCTGTCTGTTTCCACTCACCATGATTCCTCCTCCGAGGAGCCCCCCCATGTATTTCACCTCCTCGGTGATGAGGCCCTGCTGTGCGTACTTGACGGACCCGCCGGGGAAGAACAGCACGATGTTACAGAGGATGGAGATGAACACGAACGGATACAGAGAAAAGGCGATGAATTTGGAACATTTTGCAGTAGACATCTTGTCAGAGTGGATGTTGACTAACGGCTGCACTGACTCTTCTGCTCTATTCCTTCCTGTTTTTAGAGAAGACAAGTCCCCTGATGGTGAGGGAGGTGTGATAAGTTACACACGCACTTCAGTTATTTATTTGAGTAATTTTAATTTAGCATATTTTGCACTACTCTTACTTAAATAGGGGGGGGGATCTGTCATGTGTATGTATATTTTATATGTTTACACGTCTCCCCTCATTTCATGCAATACAATGGAATTTTCTCTGTAAAAGATGAACTACCTGATTAATCACCCCTAATATATAGATATCTAACCAGGGAGTCAAACCTGCAATGAATGCATGCATCATAAAATGTAATTGATGGCTTTAATGTCGGAAGATGAAAACTTAGAAATAATAATAATAATACATGTGACTTGTATAGCGCTTTTCTAGAAACTCCAAGACGCTTTGACAGAGAATAAAATAAATAAATAAAAAAACAACAAAAAAAAACAAAGAAAAATACAAAAAGAGATAAACAAAACAGAAAATAGGGGGGGGGGTCAGTGGTTGAATGCAGTGTTGAAAAGGTGTGTTTTGAGTGATGTTGTGTGCTGTGAGGGAGTAAGAATCTCTGATGGATCGGNAACAGGTGGGTTTTGAGTGATGTTTTGAATGCTGTGAGGGAGGAAGAATCTCTGATGGATTGGGGTAGGGAGTTCAAGAGGGTGGGTGCAGCAACGGAGAAGGCTCTGCCGCCCCAGGACTTGAGGTTGGTCCGGGTGGGGAGGGACATGAGGTTGGCAGTAGCAGAGCGAGTGGGAGTGTGTCTGTGGAGGAGGTCAGTCAGGTAGGATGGGGCCAGGTTATGGAGGGCTTTGTACGTCATCAGGAGGATTTTGTACTGAATTCTCTGGGGGAGGGGGAGCCAGTGGAGCTTGATAAGGACGGGGGTGATGTGGTCACGGATTCGGGTGTGGGTGAGTAGACGGGCGGCGGAGTTCTGGATGTATTGAAGTTTGTTGAGGATGTTTGCAGGTGAACCATAGGAGGCTGTTGCAATATGGAAGTTGTCTTTTGTATTGTTTAAGTGTAATGAATTGAGGATTCCCTTATAAATAATGTTAAGGAATGTATTTATTCAATTATTTATTTGTATAAGTCCCCGCTGCAATTTTTTTTTTTTTATCACGTTATTGTGCAAAATCTTGAATATGTATTGTCGCCTATATTATTATGATTATTATTTATTTATTTATTTGATTTAAGTGAAAAATAAAACTTCTAAATGTAGTTATAAAGAGATTTCATTTCAATGGCCTATTTTTCACATAAATAAAATTGAAAACACAAATTAATATTTTTGCATTTTCCTATAATCTATTTTTTTAAGGAAGGAGAGCAACAAGTAATTTAAATGGCCCTTTCTTCACATGGGGGGAAAAAGCTAAAACTTTACACCAAAAACTAATCAAGTCAAGTATTTATATTTAAAATAATTAATACATCATATTAATAATAAAGGTTGTTTGTATAGTTCATTGTTAAAGTTACAAAATGATTAACAAAATATATATTCAGCTATCATTATTTAAGATGCCTATATTTAACAGCAGGACACTGGACAGGGGGGCCTATCAGAGAGAGAGGGGGGTCTTCAGAGGTCAGGGTACCCACCGTCTCCTCTTTAAACACCGGGGATCCTCAGAGTCCCTCCCCCAGGCACAGAGCACCAGTCCCGGCTGCAGCTCCACCATGGCCCCGTCTGCCTTCAAAAACTTCCTGGTTACTTTTTTAATGCCAGAAAAATGTTACGAGAGGTTTTTCGTCAACTTCCACATGAACGGTGAGCTCCTCGTGAGGACTTTTTGGAACGAAGACTGTTTATTAATATATAAACAGTCTCTGGGGAAATCCTGCAGAAATCTCCAGATGTGAGGAGGCGTTTCTTCTGTAGCCTAGCACTGTGTTTAGCGTTTTTACAAACTGTGATAAAATGTGTTAAATGTGGCTATTATTTCCGTAATTCGTTTACAAAATCCTGTTTAATGCACACTAAAGCAGGGGTGTAAAATAACTAGGTGCATTTACTCAAGTACTTTGCTTTGAGGTACTTGTACTTTAACTGCGTGTTTACATGTTATGCTACTTTGTACTTAGTTCTACTTCACCTCAAATCAGAGATAAATCGTGTACTTTTACTCCACTACATTTATGTAATATCTTTAGTTACTTTACAGATCTGGATGAATGATGTGAAATATATTCAAGTGTTGAATCAGACTTTAGTTCCACCTGGAGTAAATTCACAAGCTAGTGTACAAAGTCATTCAAACTAGCTGCACCTTTACCAGCTTTGAGAACACTTTAATGATCAATCATTATAAAACATATCATATTATTCTGAAATGGACCAAACTGCAGAATGAGTACTTTTTGGTACTTTAAATATACTTTTGTACTTTTACTTGAGTAACATTTTGAATGCAGGACTTTTACTTGTAACAGAGTAATTCCTACACTCTGGTTCTTCTACTTTTACTCAAGTACAAGATCTGAGTACTTCTCCCACTTCTTATTGTTTTTAATATTTGTTTGTATTTATGTTTCAGGGGCTTGCCTTAGGTTTGTGATGAACAGAGTTATGGGATTTTTGATCTTACTGGACACTTTCCTGGGTAAGAAGATAAGCCTTACATCTGATGTAATCATGCAACAGTAACAAAGAAGTCTGTCCTCTCCATAATGATTGATCAATGGCCACCACAGTGATGAGTCACAAACTCTTCTGATAAACTTTTGTGTAACGCTGAACCCTGTAGATCACCATGTCAACATCAGGCCTGCTGATGGCATCACAACACCACTGCATTTAAATATCTGAAATGCAGAAACAGTGACATCTCTAAATGTCTCTTAGAAGCTGAACCCTGCCACTGCAAAAATAAAGTAGAGCATTGTATCTGGATAGTAAGAATACTAGTAAGACATACAGTACTGTACTGTGAGTTTTCCATGACCTACTATACTCCACCCTAAATTGCTCCTGTGGGTATTGCCCACAGTATTTAATGTATTATATACGTAACATGTAATGTAAAGCACTTTGAGCACTGGGAAAAGCGCTAAAAAGAAATACCATTAATTATGATTATACTGTTTCATGCCATACTCTATTATTGTAATGACTTTAAAGTGAGATGTTATGACGTACTATACAAGTACTTTTTTACATTAAACTATACTACAACTTTTTTGTGAAATTTGTATGATATACTTTATTTTTTAACTCATTTTGATTGCATATGATGCTATGCCTTTTTATGACTCTTTTATGGCTAACTGCTATATGAGGAAAATACTATATTATGACATTAGCTGTGACATACAACAATCTTTCATATTTCCACATTCTTTTTAATGATAATTATAGAATCTTTAATGGTCACACATGCAGAGCACACACAGTGACATTTGGCCTCTGCTTTTAACCCATCCTAGTGCCAGGAGTCTAGTACTAGGAGCAGTGGGCAGCTATTGTACAGCGCCCGGGGAGCAATGGGAGTGAGGGGGGAAGGGCTGTGTCCGGTGCCTTGCTCAAGGGCTCCACGGCAGGGCAGGAGGTGAACTGGGACCTCTCCGAGTGGCAGTCCACACTCCATATTTTAGGTCTGGTCGGGGACTTGAACCGACGACCCTACAGCTCCCAGTCCAAGCCCCTACTGACTGAACCAAGAAGAAGAAGAAGAAGAAGAAGAAGAAGAAGAAGAAGAAGAAGAAGAAGAAGAAGAAGAAGAAGAAGAAGAAACAGAGCAGCCTCCCCCTTTCTTCTTCTTCTTCTTCTTCTTCTTCTTCTTCTTCTTCTTCTTCTTCTTCTTCTTCTTCTTCTTCTTCTTGGTTCAGTNCAAATCGGTAGGGTTGGCAGGTATGTGTCCCTCTCTGCAGAACATTAACAGACTTCCTGTTTAACTTGGCAGATTGGCTTTAAGGAGTGCACATTTGTTTGAATGGATGTCATCAGTGCACACCCAGTGGCTTGTTCAAACAGTGAGTCATATTCATAAACTGAAGCTAGCTGGTGAAACGCGCTTTGATGTTGGGCTTGTTGTTGACATTGGAGTATACTAATAGCATCACAGAAATAGATGTAAACGGTAAAGTGAATGCTTCTCAACTCAGGACACAGTAGTAAGAGGAATAATGAGTAACATGCAACTGATTAATTAATGACTGACTTGTGGTCTGATCTACCAGTGAATCAGACAGAGAACTCTTTTGTGTTTTTTCGATGCTATATACGTACAAGAGGGGGAAGTGGTGTGCTATGGCGTACACGACAGGACAGGAGAAGGCGTAGAGCTGCAGCAGGGCGGAGGTCAGACTCAGACCGTCTGCACTTCTCCTCCACAATATCTTCAGCAGCTGGGGGAGCTGCGCTGCACAGAGACCACAACATGCAGTCAGTGTCAGGATTAACAATACATATCTTTACAAATGAGTAAAACATTGAACAATTGCAGTGGAAGACGGAAACATTTCGCTCTTGATTTGCAATTATTGTCTGTATTTCGTTGAGGGGAAGGCTGCTCTGTTTCTTCTTCTTCTTCTTCTTCTTCTTCTTCTTCTTCTTGGTTCAGTCAGTAGGGGCTTGGACTGGGAGCTGTAGG